ATTCTGCTGGCCGGGTGTCCTGTGCAATGGGAGAGTCGAAAGCAAAGTTTGATGGCCCTTTCCACGACTGAAGCAGAACTCACAGCTCTGGGCATCAGAGCTAGCTGCTTGGCTGAGGCTTTGAAGGTGGGGGAGTTGACCCTAAATCATCGAGTTGGCACTTCTCTTTGGGCCGATGGTCTGACAAAGCCGTTGCCGGCACAACAAATCAGCAGGTTCTGTCGTGGCATATGGCTGGGTGACCCTTCACTGGGGTCTGATGATCAGGGGGGTCAAAGAGAAGCGGTCGTGGTTTCATCACCTGTGAATGTCAAGATGCTCAAATCGTTGTCCGTGCTCGCGGCAGGCGCCGCCATGATTCCAGGCGCTCAATCGGCTGAGGAGTGTGAGATACAGGAGACCAGGGGGGAAGTCGACTCGAGCTCGTGGCTAGAGGTGGGCTGGATGCTGATGCTTGCAGGGTTGGTATGTTTGCTCCACTTCATCAAGGACATGGGCTGGGACCTCGCAAAGCGGATGTTCAGCCAGCCAGAACGCTGAAAGTCAAGCTCATGAACAACCACGCATCCTTGCCAACAAGGGCTACACCTGAAGCAGCTACATCCGTGGAGATCCTTCCGGGTGAGCGGAAGTTGGTGCTTCTTGGATTGGCTTTGGAAATGCCAAGAGGTTGCTATGGCAGGATCGCTCCAAGAAGCTCGTTTGCACTCCGGGGCATCGATGTGGCCGGCGGAGTCATTGACCCTGATTTCAGAGGAGAGGTCAAGGTCATTTTGGTCAACAATGGGCAGGAAAGCTTGTCAGTTCGCCCTGGTGATCGTGTGGGCCAGCTCATCCTTGAAAAGTATGCCAAGGTGAACCTCCAAGGCGCTGAGGATTTGACACATACCCTACGAGGAGGAGAAGGTTTTGGCAGCACTGGAGTAGCAGTGAGAAGCCTCTCGGAACTCCGCTCAGAACGACTTCATTGCAGAGACCGAGGGTGAGACTGGTGGTAGGGATGATCTATCGGATGTGACCCCACACCACGTGTTCTTTGATGGCATCTTCACCTCCAATCAGGGGGAGAACATGAGGGAGTTTGTGATGCGATTGAAGCACCAAGAACTGCGACCATTCCGGTGGATGTTTCCAGAAGCACTCCTACAAGAGCTCAATCCTGACGGACTTCACGGCTCTTCAAGGACCTTTTTCCAACCAGTTCAGAATGGCACCATCCTAGTGAGGGTCCACAAACACTCCACCTGGCGCAAAAAGCTCTTTGACATCGAAGTCGCAGCTCCACCACCGTCAAGTGGTATCACGGCTGGCGTAGTCACGTTGGGCTGGATGGAGGACGGCTTGATGTTTGCCCGGGTGGACAACCGCCGAGGTAGCAGAGCAATGTGCTATCTCAAATCCCAATGGAAGGGAGTGAGCTTAAGGCACCTCCAGGAGCACCCGCTAAAAAACGAGAATGTGGAGGTCGAGGGTGGCCCGCTGAGAGAGCTTTAGATGTTTGTGAAGCTTTTTTAGTTCCATGTCCATTCAAAAGAGGAATGGATTTGTGGTGCTTGATCTGTTTTGCTTGATGTGGCAATCTCAGCCTAGAGTCAAACTCTGGAACCCTTCCACAAGGGGGCTTGAGCTTACTTTTGAGTGGTTGGGCCGTGCTGTTCACCTCGACCCGAGACACTCGGGAGGGGGGAGCGTAAAGATGAGCACGGCATTTCTTGAGCAGTGAACATAGATGTACATGAGGGCCTGAACCGTAGCCCTTTTTGTGTGCGAGAAAACAACCAGCTTGTTCTTAGAGTGGCGAAATTAGATTATGTTGGTTGCAAAGCGCCATTCGCAAGCAGGTATTGGAGGTAGCACCAATTGGTACAAAGCTGAACGTGAGTGATCTAAACACTAAGAAGCTATCGGCGACTAGAAAACGGTTCTTGCTATACTTTTTGGGTGCGACCAAATTTGACGAAGAGAGTGGGCAACAGGAAAGTGTAGGTGAGACAGAATTTGTTGAACGCATGACAGAAGAGGCATTTGAAAGCACAGATCCAAAGGATCAGCAGGTTGACTCGGAGCAAAGCAAGCAGAAGTATTTTGCAGGTGGCTATGGCATTGAGTGTTTTCGGCATGAAGGGTTGCATGGACAACGACGAACAGCAACCAGTTGAAAGCAACGAGAACAGTTGGCGGCAGTTTGCATTGACTATGGTTGTATTAGCAATCATTGCATTGTGTAACTTTGTTTTCTCGCATTGAGATGTGTTGCAGACATTGTTGCAGGCGATGTTAGACAGGCGGGGCAGAAAGAGAGAAAGAGATGATGAAAGACAAGATGAGAGACAAGAACAAGAAGCTGGAGAGCAACAGGAATCTTCAGATGTTGAGGTTGAAGAGCTAGAAGTTGAAGGACAAGCAAGTGCGAGCTCAGAGCCTAGACCTCCGAGCACGTCCCCACCAAGGGGACCACCGCCGCGAGCACCAAAGTTCTCGCCTATCCCAATAGACCCACCTGCACGGTGGGATCCTTGGTCTCCGGAGTGGTTTCTATATTTCATGCTTGGAAGAGTCAACAGAAGGTTGCAACGTCGTGGACAGGTGATGGATCGCAACACACTACTCAGGTACAATCATCGACGTGATATTTTGGAGATGCAGCTAGGGATCCTTGACCAGAACCATAGTGAAGGAGTTCGCAGGAGAGCACACATGATGTGCCGTGGCATGACTGATTTGTCATCCGATTCACAATCATCGGGTGGACCGGAGATTGCAGAAGAAGAAGAACCAGAAAATGAAAGCATTGTGGAGGAACAGCATCTAGCAGCCATACAGGGCAGACAGGTGGAGATGAACAGTTCAGAGAAGAGCTTGATTCAGGTGATGGATATTTTACCTCATCAAGTTTGCCAGGGCGAAGTTTGGCTATGCCCTCAGCAGAACAAGACCAACAAAACGATGAGGAGGACGATGCCGCAGAAATCGAGGACAGCGAGACGGAGTCACACAGAAGACTGAGATACATTTATTCAAGCATTGGAGAAGGGAGCGACCCGGAGTATTGGCTACATCATTTTAGCAGCGATGATGATGACGAAGCAAGCAATTCGAACAGAGATGATGGCAATTGATTTGCAGAATTTCAATTTTACAATACATTTCTTTTCCTGCAACTCGAAACGACCACTTTTTTGGTCGTTTTGAAAACAACCATTTTTTTGGTCGTTTCAAAAAAATACGGTCGTTCTATCTTGCAATCATTTTGCACATGAAAAAATGGTCGTATACGTTTTTATACGGTTTTATACGGTTTGCATACGGTTTGCATACGGCCTGTATACGGTCGTGGTTCGAAGAATATACGGTCGTTTCAACAAAATACGGTCGTGGTTCGAAAAATATACGGTCGTTTCCAGAAATATACGGTCGTATACGATCGTATACGATTTCACAAATCAACTGCTTAATATGCATTGTGCATGATGTAATATTTGAACATCATCATAATTGACAAAAATACGGTCGTTTAAGAAAAGACCATTTTTATGGTCGTTTTAAAAATATACGGTCGTTTGAAGAAACAACCAAAAAAAAGTGGTCGTTTCAGGTTGCAGGTTGGTGGTGAGTTGAGTGGCCTGTGAAACCGTCTGAACCACAGGACCATTCATTGTTGAATACCGTGAAACCATCTGAACCACGGTATAGTGGCACTAAGAACGAATACAGGTGCATTGAAGACAATTTTGATGGTACGTGAAACCAGCTGAACCACGTACAAAGCAGCAAATAGAATTTACAATGGTCAGTTGTGGAAATTGTGTACAAGAGATACACCGGAACGGTGGCTACAGTTGGTAGCTGTACAAATGTTTGTGGGAGACCTTTTTCAGTTCCACCTACCAGACGGTGGATCCCACAAATCGAGAAGTGTACGAGAGAAAGTGTGGAGTTTAGATTTAGACATCTAACTCCAAGGCGGGATGTTAACCTTTTTCACCCTAGAGTAAACGTATGAATGTGACATGTATAGTGTGGATTGGAGTCACTTGTGTAGTATCTGTTCTTATCACCTTGAAGCGTTCGTGTTCGAAGTGAAAAGCGTTGCTGCCTAACAGAAGAAAACGCACAGTTGAAAATTCATTCACAAGGTCAGAAAGCAAAAATTTGCTGAATCACCGCATCAATTACCTTGAAGCGGAAATCCGAAGACAAAGTGAGAGGCTAGAAGAATATGAAGGTGAACTGAGAGATGCAGAGAGGGTTTCACGCGTGGAACAACAACGTGTGATCCAAGCTCTCCAACAGCTTGAAGGCCAACGCCAAGTGCTTTAGAGAGAGCACAATAGGATCCAGAATTGCCGAGAGACCCCAGTTCCGAAAGAGTCAGAGGTCATCGTCACGATGCATGGATCCAAGTTCCATGTGGATCCACGATGCCCGGCACTTCACAATGCCACCGGCAGAACTTGCATAGGATGCTGCAAGACGTGTGAGAAGCAGGTGGCAAAGGATAGATGGTGAAGGACTTGACCAAAGGTCAACACTTTGTTCCTTTTTCACCAGTGTGAATTTGGTTGGCAAGAAGCATGACATGTCACCATAGCACAATGGTTGCGCCGACCACTCATGCTCAAACAGAGCTCTTGAGCCACATGACCTGTGGCTGCCCGTTCACGTCGAGGAAAACAGGTTCCTCCTTTCGCGTTTCGAAACTTAGAGCCATCGATTTGGAATTCCCCCTTCTTGGTTTTGTGTTCTCCATTTTTTCACAGGAATCCAATGGAGTTTCCCATGTCTTGGAGTTCTACACCCCGAAGAACGCACACCCCGCCGTCCGAAGTTTGCGGGAGTAGTGGACATTATAGGGCCTTTTGGGGCCCTCGGCCACAGGGTCAGAGGGGACCAAAGGGCTGCCGCCATGTCAGCGCAATTGAAAATCACACCCGCTTTGCTCCATTTTGTTGTTGATTTTCGCAGCGCGGCAACGCGACATCACACCTTCAGCCTTCCGCAGTCATTTTTCTATCGAGGCCCTCCAAAACTGGTGGGGCAAAAGTACCCTCAAAACGAGCGTTTTAGGGGGGAAGGAAGTAGGCAGCTGCCGCTGATGTTTGCGGCCAAAGGACTGGGAAAGAAGTGGAAACAAGAGTCTTGTCTGTCTGTCTGTCTGTCTGCCTGCCTGCCTGCCTGCCTGTCTGTCTGTTTGTTTGTTTGTTTGTCTGTCTGCACGAGTCGTGGAGACCGAGATTTGCACATTCGATGCCCAGCTGCAGTGACAAGCCACCGTGCCGTGATACTCACGTCATACTGTCGTCATATTTGGTGATTTTCATTCGGATCCTTCTTCATGGTTTTCTTTCCTGTAGACCAACCTGTCACCCTGGTCCTTGTTGCTAGCTGTTCCAGCATGACCAGTCGATGTTGACTTGCAAAAAACCATCCTGAAGTGCCAACATCGATTTTTTAGTCTTGATGGCTTCGAATGGCGGCAAAATGAGCCTTTACTGTTACCTCTTCAGAAGGAATTTGTGGAGAAAAACGGACGTACCGGACGTGCACCTCAGTCTTGAGGACGAAAACTTCTGGCAGACCAGGAGTGTCAACTCAATTGCCCTGGCCTGACCGCGTGGAAGTCCAAACCCAACCAGAACACCATTGTGCGCCCTACCCCAAACCAGGCCGAGCACGCCGGAAAAAGAAAGCTCTGCAGGCCACATATAAGTGTGCAGACGTGTAACGACGTGTAACGACCCGTGTATATGTGGCCAGAACGAAAGTGATCGGCAGGAGATGCCCAGTATCATGGTTCCAGAGGCTGGAGATCGGATTCCACCTGTTTTTCACTCAGGGCTCGGGATTTGGTTCTGTTTGCCACACGGGGGCATGTGTGTCCCTACTAGGTCTGGAACGGACCTCACCGGAGTTGATCATGCAAAAACACGACTCCGGTTTTCAGGACCAGGCTTTACGAAGTCTTTGGACCTGTAGGGGAATGTCGATCCTTTTTTAGCCTAGTCAGTGGTGCTCACTGTTTGGGGGTCGCGTGAGAGCGCGCGTGCCTGCGTGAGCTGGGCTGCCTCCTTCCCTGTGTCTGGACAGGGGTTCGGTCCTCCCCTGGTCCGCTCGGAAGGAGAGATTTTACCAAACCGTGTTTTTGTATCTGCAGAAGGTCTCAAACAGGTCTTGTGATGAACATCGAGGAAGAACACCGAAGGTCAGACAGTGGACCAGCACTGAGCAGTGACAATCAAAGACCTATTCGTCCTCTTTCAGGGATCTATTGTTTTGCTTAGTGCAGACATGTGCAGACTCAATGGCTTGAGACCTTGAAGACTTCTCCAAGTCCTTCTCCAAGTTTGACACGCAGGTCCTCAAACAGGAAAACTTCAAACTCAGGTCCTCAGTAGAAATCCAAACGGACCTGACCTGATCCTGCTCAGGTGCCGTCCGTCGGTCGACTGTGCTACGTCGTCGCTTCTGGGAGGATCCCATCGCTAGCGCCACGCAATGCTATGCCAGCAGTGCCTCGCAAAATCACGCGAGGACGTCCGTTTCGGTGTCCAGGACGAGTTGGGGGCGTCTCATTTTTGGTGCCTTTTCGTTGATGGACGTTTGAACATCTCGTGTTGCATGAGAGTGGCTGGCCTCTGGGTGGTGGTCGTATGTCGAGGTTGGGCGCTGGTTTGTCTGATGGATCTGCGTAAGGGAAAGGCTCTGTTGGGTCTCGTCGAGGCCGGAACAAATTCCAAGTCTCGAGACCTAGAGGCCTAGACCAGTTGCTGAAGGCTCCTCGAGTCGTGTTGGCCATCGTGATGGCTGGCCTTGGCCCTGAGGTGCCGGAAAAAAGGGAACGCCTTTGAGGAAAGTCTTTGGTCTCCTCCCTCCCAAAACCATATGAGGATTTAACCAAATCGATGATGTGGGTCGGCACCCCTGGTTCCTTTAGCCTGTCAAGGGCGGGGTGGACCATGACCCTCCAAAATAGGTTCTTCCAACATCCTAACATCCTACAACCACAGGTCCACTCATATAGTCCTTAAACCTAGGAACAAACAGGAACTGTATAGGAACCAAACCTATATAGAAACTCATCCTATAACCAAAAAGGGGCCCAAAACGCCCAACCTGATCAGCACTTTCTTTCTTCGTTCCTCCTCTCAGGTCCCCGACGAGCGAAACCCAGCGGGGGCGCACTGGAGAACGACCGAGGGGCCGACGGAAAAAATCACCGGAAGCCAAACGGCGACTCCGCGCGGTGCAGATCGGGCGCCTAAGGGGTGAGGCAACGCACGCCTTTGGGCCTCCAAGCTACAAGCGATGGCCTCCAACCTAATAGCGCTCAACAAACGTGAAGAACTTGCTCCCATAGAAGGCGCATGCGCCTGCGCTTTCGGACTGGTGAACGGGCCTCGGGACTCGAAGGTCGAAAGTCGGACGGAACTTGCTCGAAGGGAGGTCCTCAACATGTTTCAAGTTGATGGTAGGGGGTTCGGGTGACAACTTTAGACGATCGTTCAAAACATCTCCCACTTCATCAACCAGTTGGACCAAGTCAAGGCTGCAGAGAGACCCAGGTGTGGCCGATCTCTTCCGCTTTGTCATGAAGCACCTTTTGCCTACTAATGCCAGGAGCTCCTAATAGCTTCTTGCTACTACTAGTTACTAGCAGCGATGCCTTTGTTCCGTTCGTAGCTTCAGGTTTACGACTTCTGCCAGAAGAGAGGACTCCAAAACCGACGCGGCCACCCGTCCGCTTCCCCCGCCCTCCGGCGGCCACGCGAGGTCCGACCAAGAGCACGCCGCGGCTGGAACTCCCGGTGCTCGCCCAGTGCGGGTGCTTGAGAGGGAGCCGCCCAGAGAGGGCGCCTTGGGGCCAGGGGTAGAGACATAGGTTCCAAGGTCCGCCGCTTAGAGCGGTCGCATCCTGAAACGCCGACGGCAGGGAGGCTGTCTCTGGAGTTGGGGGAAGTATGGTTCGAGGATGTTCAGTGTTGCATCATTTTTTGGCTTGCTGTTGTTTGGGGTACCGAGGCTTGGTTCTTGGAAGACTGGATGGCTGGACCCCGTACTGTACCTTTAGTACAAGAAGGCACCATCCGCCCACCAATCAACTCTTGATCATTTCGGTTCATTGTGAAAGGTCTAGAGTCTAGGGTTACTCGATGTTACGCGCTTTGAGTCTGCTGTTTCAGCACGGTGCTTCGCATCAAACACCTGAGAACTTGATCAGTGTTCAACGGCCAAAGATTCAATTCGTGCTTATATTGATTCGTTCGTGGCCTTCTTGTAGAACGACCCAACTCTCCATGTTCCAAAAGCTTCGCGGCGCACTGCGCTGACCTCGGCTCCCCCACTTCCATGGGTTTCGTGTCCACCCCCCGAAGAGAAGGATCTTCGGAACAGGGTGTATGTTCAGTTTTCTTCAGCCCACCAGTCCGACTTGGTCTCTCCCTCTGTGTGACACAGACAACCCACCTGTGGTGCTCTTCGCCGCCCCGGCCGCGGGATCCGAACGACCCCTCCCCCGTCCCAGTCCGGAGCCCGCGGCCGCGCTGAGCCGGGGGCGCCCAGTCGGTTCCGAGGTTTCGAGTCGCCCTTTTCTTCAGAAAAACACCATCTTGTAAGTCCGGTGATGTTGCACTTACTAAGAGCGGATGGCTTGTTTCTGTTTCTTTTTTGGGAGGCCAAATGGTTGGGAGCCTTCAAAGGGCATGGATTTGGAACGACTGGGGGAGAGGCGCTGGGTGAAGAGCAGGTGCTGAGGTCTCGGCTTTCCTTGTTCACAGCATGTGTTGCGTGAGGTGACTCTGGGTGAGTATGGCCTGTTGGATTTTTCGTAGGTGGTTGCAATGTCAAGATGATCTTGCTATTCTGAACTGGTGCTTCTTACTGGCAAGATTTGGCATCCACGCAGTTCTTCTGAAGCAAACTCAGGGAGGGTATGAACCCAGCCTGAGCCGAATCAGTGCGGAATCATTGCGGAATCCTTTTTGTTTCCATTCTCTTCTTCGCACAATCTCTGCCAAGTTTCATCCACTCACGAGTTCGTCCTTTCCATCGATGGCCTTGAACACATCCATTTTACCGTGGGTCGGGGAATCCAATAGACCGCACCACTCCACTGGAAACCCCAGCGCGCGCTGGGGGGGTTGCGTCAGTCCGCGTGCATCCCCACAGGTTGCGTGCCTACCCCGGGGCTCGGCCCACCGGGCACCATCCTGTTGGCACCATCTAGGCGTGGGGGTTCGGCTTTTTTGAAGTCTAGAGAAGACCAGAATGGTGGGTGTGTGCCGACATGTTAAGCGGGCCTCGGGCCGTCAAGGCAACAGCATGTTTTGAAGGAACTTCTGGACCGATGCACAGCAGCTGAAAATCCCTATCTGCTTGAAGATCTGGTGCCTTTGCCAAAGATCCAGTGGAGATGCGGGAGTTTCCTTTGATGTCTGTGAGTGACTGGAAGCTTAATGTAGGAACACTTTCTTTGCTTGTTTCCATTTTTTGTATTGGACACTGGTCAAACAACTGGGTTAAAAATTCCTTAGCACCAAGTGCAAACCAACAAGAAAGGCAGACTGGTCAAGACAGGTCTACCTACTGAATCGTATCTTTACACAATTTGTGGAACTGAAGTCTTGACTCTTGAACTTCTAATGATTCTGCTGTTGGCATGGTGCCATGTTCACATTCGGGTATTCTCGAATAGGGGTGATCTTCACTGAAAACTAGCCCAACGTACCTCAAGAATACCTCGTTGTGTTGCTTCCACAAGGAGTGGAAAGCCACAAGCCGCAGCCTGTCCGGCTCACTGCAGCCTGTCCGGTGCTGGCCCAGAAGCGATCCGCGCGATGTCTCGCGCGATCCGCCAGGAACTCCGCGAACGACCTGGATCTGCCGATGATCGACCAGATTTGTCGTTCCAGCTTTCAAGTGCAGAAGGAGAGATGAAGCCGAGTGGCGGAGCTACGGGAATGGTGTGGGTCCGGAAAAGGGAGTTGTTCAGTTCAGCTGACTTGGTTCTTGTTTTTGGGTGGAAAGGAGGAGGTCAGACTGACATGGTTGGAGTTGACCAGGGCGTATCGTTTGAAAGCGATGGGTGTGTCTCAATGCCAGCTAGGTACCCAGTTGGTCAACTTGCACCCAAACGCAAGGAAGATCTATCGATCTAGATGGGATATTGGACAATTCTACGCCCGGATTGGACGTGCCATCTTCGCAATTCTTGGTTCTGAATGCAGGCTCTCTCTGTAGCAAGCACAACACACAAGAGCAGATCATTGGGCCCCCATGCCCAGTGGAGCTGAATCTGTTCGTGCAACCCCCAGCGACGACTGCGACGCAGGCGTTGCAGCGCTGGCAGCGCGACGCCTTGGCGGCGCATCGCTTGCAGTGGGAGCGGCAGCTGCGGCACCGCGCGCGCTGCCGGGCGCAGGTCTGGCGGGAGAGGCGCAGCCGTTGGGGCCGTTGGGGCTGGGCTTGGCTGCTGCGCAGCAAGAGTTTCATTGTTTTTGCTGGACTTGTTGGGCTGGATTGCTGAGCAGCTTTCGGTTTTTTCTGTGGATTGTTTCCTAGGTTAACACGCTTGGCGTGTTCAGCTTGGGATCTTGGTGTTCAGTGGAACTTTTGTGACGACCCCGTTGGTACTCTTGTTCCCAAGACACGAGGTGAGGTTTGGTGTGATAGTCATGTTTCCTAAGAAACAAAACGCTCTCAACTCCAAGCGGTATCGGGGCCAAATATAGAAACAACTCTCAAAAATCGTGCTTGACTCAACAATATTGATATATATGTCTCAGTAAAGATGAGCGTTTTCCGGACCTTCCTCTCAAGGGCATGTTTTCAGGACTTAGTTGGTGGGTAGAGGCTGCCACTGCTGTCTTCGACTTGTCCACGCGTGCCTCCTGTCCGTTCCACTGCAGTGGATCCTGCTTGCCGTGGTTCGTGGCTGGCTTTTCCTTGGGCATCATCCTGGCTCTTTTCCTCCTCCTTACTGCCTTCATCTACTTGGTTCCTCTCCTTCACAGGGGACGGCACACCCCGTTTGATTTCACTCGGCTGGAGGTGGTCCAAAAGAGGCCGGTGGAGGTGGATCGTCAAGCCAGGCTGGCAGCCTACGTTGACTAGTGGATGAGTTCTAGACTGCTGTGAATCGCTTGAGCATTGCCTTGGAACGTGGAGCATCTTTGGTTTCTTCACCTCCTTCATCCAGCAGCCCGGTCATTTCCATTGCTGGTTGGGAATTTGTGGAGCCTGGAGCCGATCAGCCGTATATTGTTGAGATCGACCGCCTGAGAGTTTTTGAGGACGGGCCCCAACCGGTGCCCGAGCACCTCTTCATTTCAGCAGCTCCTCGACTCTCCAACGTTGCAGGTGATCCCAAGGAGAGAATCACACGTGCTTGGCGGGCTGGTTTTTGGTGCTGGGCGGCTGCGGCTACCCACTCTGAATACAAGCAGGCGGAGTCCATTTCGGTCTCAGACACTCAGTGGCTGATTTTTCGTCACTCCCGGGTTTCAGCTCCAGTGAGGGTTCGCAAGATTACAGATTTGAGGTTTTTGCTCGCTTCTCAAGCCCCCCACAGTGATCCAGCAGTCTACCAGGGTTTCGCATCGATCACGGAGGTTCAGGTGTGCTGCGCCAGCTACGGTGTAGGGGTCCCTCCCCTATACCAATGCAAAAGTCAGAGTTGAAGTGTGCTGGAGACAGGGTGGACTTTTCCTTGATGGTGGCCACCCTTACGCCTCCAGTGGTGGAGTCAGTGACGGAGCTTTTTGTGCTGCCTCTCATTGCTCGTGGAGGCGGTTTTCTTGCATGTATCCCATATGGGGTGTTGGACGAATCTTTTGTGGCTGATGGGTCTGGTTTGGAGCTTGCACCTTCCTGGCTTGGCATGGGCTCACTTTTTGACGTTCCGCTGACTGAGGAAGGCGATGATGGTGCTATGGTTCCTCTTGGTATTAGTGGCCCGGTGTTGGTCATTGACGTCAGTGATGAGTTCCTGAACTTTGCCAGAATTTTCGACCCTGTGACAGATTCAGACATTGAGATTGTCCCGTACCACCCTGACAATACATCGTGCATTCCTCAAATTGATGTTCTCTTGAAGCGTGTCAAAGAATGGCTTCGAGAGAGGACTGATCAGATGGCAGCTTTTTATTCGGCTCTAGAGGACCCGGAGGTAGCTGTCAAGGCAAAGGCTGGTCAGAGGAAGTCCACTGCGGCCCCGAAGCGGGTCACAAACGCCGTCCTCATGGAGCAGCTCAGTGCACTCACAACACAAATTCAGGTTCTGTCGGCACGCCAAGATTTGTTGGAGGGGTCGCAGAGCCACTCCGCAGTTGCTGGGTTTTCAAAGCCTGCCGAAGCTGTTGGAGGGCGAGGTGGTGGCAATATCAACAAGCTTCCGGACTTGTCCGCAGGGCTCAATTTCGTGGAGGGCCCATCTCTTTCGGTAGCAAAGGCTTTACAAGTGGTGGGACCTCCGCCAAGGACAAGAATGGGACAGACCACATCACCCTCGTCAAAGCATGTCAAGCATCAGAGTCCGGAGGAGCCAGACGCGTTGTTGGTTGGAAGCTCAGGCAATGCTGCTCAAGATCCAGAGGCTATCATCAACGCCCTCTCTCAGCAGAGCACTGCCCTGACAGCTTTGGTTGCTCACATGACCCAGCAAGGAGGAGATCCGATGCTAGATTTACAATCCGGCTTTATGAGCTCCTCAAGCATGAAGGGAGTTCAGAGACGCGAGAAGCTGCAGGCAGAGCTGGCAGCTCGCAGCGGAAACTTTTTCCTCCTGATGATGCAACAAGTGCACAAGAAACTTCATCCTGGTCGAGCTCTCCCTCGATCAGAACAGGAGCTGGGCAGTGTTTCAATGGTGGAGTATTTAGAGAAATCCGGAGGGTACAAAAACCAGAAGACTTTGGGGCTCATACAGTGGATCCTGGCTCATGCGATCGATGCTGCAGCCCAAGAAGATTTTGCTGGTATGAAGGAGATTGTTGCTTTGCTTGCTATGTCGGTCGAACAGGCCAATTACGACAATGGAGATTGGGCTGTGGCATACCTCGTGAGTCTGCACGAAGACCCTCCTATACAGCTGTTTCAGGAACGCTCGGTTCAGGTCTCGACAACCAGCAGGCCGTTCAGCCCGTTGATACCCCCTGCCTGGACAGCCACGACCTTGAGTTACATCAAGGACCTGGAAGTGTTGGCAAACAAGAAGCCCGACCTTTCGAAGCGAACAGGACAGCAGCAACAAAAGGAGCAAATCTCCGAGACCCCTCAATCCGGATCTCCAAGGAGGAAGCCCCGCTATCCAAAGCGCCCTAAGGCGGCCGCGGAAGGTGCCCAGTGACAAAGAAGTAGGACTGCATGAGGTGCAAGGCTGGCTCCGGAGCGAGTTTTCCACCGGTTCCTGATAGAATTCATGTTAAGTCAAAAATTGGCTATGAGAATGTCCCCAAGGAGGTCCTTGACACAGAGGAGGGTAACTTCAAGCTACACTCTTCTGCGCAAATTCCTCGGGCTCTTTCTTTTTGGCTTTGGTGTTCTGGCCTGCTAAAAATGGTGCTACGGTCGAGAACTCCTTTTGCCGCATTTTTGTTGTCCACTCTACATCTGCAACGAGGCGACTCTGCCTCGGCCTCGCCGCTTTTCCCTGTCCCAGTGCCTTGGTGTGGCATTTTTGACAGGATGCCGTCAGGGTTATCTCTTCGTGCTCGAAGGCGACTTCATATGTTGAGGGCTGTTCACATTTTGGTGATGGCCTTGAACTATTGGCATGGAGGTTTGGGAGCGTTTCCCAACGAGAGCCTGTTGACGAGGCGCCCTTCAAAAGCTCATGTGCTGATCTACAAAAGGTTGAAGGGCATTTTGGCGGCCGACGGCCCTGCTTCTGGGTCCTTTGAGATTCTGGTCAGTGGCCGAAAGTTTCTACAATTAGTTGCACGTTTGGGTGAGCTCTCGGATCAGCTCACCTACCTTGGAGCGTCTGGGCCGTATGGAAGGATGTTTCCTGGAGTTAAAGTCCCCACGGACAACCTTGTGGTTCCTCAGTTGCAACCCTACCGTGATCTGAATGCGCAGAGGCTCTAGAGCACTGGTTGCGGCTTTTGGATGCAACTGACCATCTCGATGATGATTTGTGTATGGCATACCGTGTGCCTGACCTCCTCCTCGCTGGCTATTCTCCAGCTGATGAGATCGTGGCCCTTGCTCGCGTATGTGATGCCAATGGATTGTGCTTTTTACTGGACAAGGATTTTCCGGCGTGCAGCCTTACAAAAGTTTTCAACAACCTGAAAGATGGACAGCAGGACAGACAAATCGGAGACCGTCGGGGTAGGAACTGTCGGGAGGGTAAGGCTCTTGGTCCTTCCCGCTGGCTTCCTGCTGGATCAGACTTGCTGGATCTTCATCTGGATGTTGGGTTTGAGACTTTTCGCATTTGCTGCACAGACAGAAAAGATTTTTGTATTTATCATCAATTCTGGGTGTCGGAGTCCAAAGTGAAGAGCAATGCAGTTGGCCCTTCCGTGCCTTTGTCCTCACTACAGGGATTGCGTTGCTATGATGCTTTTCTTGAGAAAAGGGTAGGGGCGAAGAGCAAGAAGCAGCCTCGTGACATTGTTGGAGATCAGCTTCGTGAAGGGTTTGGTCATTGATGACTATTTTGCAATTTCCCAGGAGCCTCGCCTAGCATCTGCTGACAAGAGTGCATCCTTTGCATGTCTTCAGAAGAGCCAGAAGATCTACTCACATCACAAAATACTTGGCTCCGCGGAAAAAGATGTGGTAGGGCTTCGGAGGAGCAAGGTTATTGGTGCGGAGTTGAATGCAGGGGATGAGGCAGCACGAAACCGCATTGCTACTTTGGGTTCGCCAGTTGCTAAGCGGTTGTCTCTATCCTGGTTGACATTGCAGAGTGTACAGCTTTCTCATACAACAGATGCGTGCATTTATGTCTTTTGGGGGGCTGGACCTCGATGCTGATGTACCGGAGACCTCTTATGAGCCTCCTGTCAAAGGCACATAGCCTTGTGGATGCCCGGCATGTGGATTCCGACAAGCCCCGCCTTGTTTCTCTTCCCAGGACGGGTGCAAATGAGTTGGTACTGCTAAGCTTGCTGGCTCCACTCATGATGTCTGACCTCGGTGTTCCTTTCGCTGATGAGGTGTTCTCCACAGATGCTTCGGATCACAGTGGGGCAAATACGTCAACAGCATTGCCACAAGACATTGTGCAGTGGCTATGGAGGTCGGGTCGTACAAAGGGAGCCTATACTCGACTCAAGACTCCTTCTGAAGTTTTGATGGATCGACTGGGCCTGCGCGAAGAGATGACAAATCAGGAGGATGTTGAGGTGGCAGGAGGGAGCGATTTCTCAGCTGTCTCAAGACCACTAGCTTTCCGGTATGATTTCCTTGAGGTATACGCTGGTTCTGCAAGGGTGTCCTTGGCGATGTCGGACTTGGGGTTTACAGTTGGTCCTCCAATAGACATTGCCTTCTGCGATGAGCTTGATCTGGTGCAGACTCGTGTTGTGTCTTGGTTGAGCTACTTGTTGACATCTGGAAATTTGGGGAGCATACTGGTTGAGCCTGTTTGCACTACATTCTCACGGATTCGTCGGCCTCCATTGAGATCAGCCACTACCCCGTTAGGTTTCGATGTGCAGTGCGAGAGGACAAGAACAGGGAACATTCTCGCCTTGCGGGCCCTGTTCCTCATGAGTGCCGCCCATAGGTGCTTCATCCCGGGACTTTGCGAACAGCTTTGGACGTCCATGATGAGGTTTTTGCAACAGTGGAGAGCACTTGAGATGAAAGACGGCATCAAAACCACTCGCACAGACTCATTTGTCATGTGCCTTTGGCTCCCCCCACCTGAAGAGCTGCCGTTTCTTGTCGGCGTGGCTTGGGACAGTTGACATTGAAAAGAAGTGCGATCGCAGTCATCATCACATTGTGGTCGAAGGCAAGTACACGAAGGCATCAGCATCATATACTTTTCAGCTAGCAAAGGCGATTGCTTCATGTCTTGCTGCTTCTCTCCGAGCCCGACAAGCTGCCTTGAAAGACCTTGAGGAGGGTAATGTGAGAGGGCTAGAGAATCAGCTCGTGAATGCAGTGGCCTTACAAGCTCCCTGGCGTGAAGTTGAGGCATGGCAGTACCAGACCAAGAGGCACGTCAATATACTTGAGCTAAGGGTGTCTTGCGGCTTGCTGAAAGGCTTGTGAGAAAGGGACAGGCATGCCGTATTGTGAGCCTGGTTGACTCCAACGTCATTCGCTGTGCTGCTTCAAAAGGGAGATCTTCTAGCAGAGCACTGACTCCGTTTTTGTGCCGCTATGGTGCTTTGTGCATGGCCGTAGGCCTGTATTTCAGCCTGCCGTTTGTTCTCACTCGGCTGAATACGTCAGAGATCCTACCAGAGATCAGCCAGTTAGAGAACCACTTGATTGCATCCCAGTCGCTCCCTTGAATGAGGAAGACATTGAGGCCCTTGATACAGTTGTCAAGTTGAGGAGATGGGCGTCAAATTGGGTCAGGTTGTGCAGTGGACTTTTTGGATTTCATGGGCTCCACTTTGTCCTCTCTGGGCAACGTCGCCATGGACTTCCTTGGATCTCGTCTCATGCTGGCTCAACCTTTGCAGCCAATCTTGATCATCCGCTTGAGTTCGATCAGACGATTGGTTTTCCAGGCGAAGGCCCTCTCCTTCTGGCTCCATTTCTCATTGCCTCTTTGCTTTTCCTTTCTCCTCTTTGCTCCTGGCAGTTGGCAGCCTTAGTTTTAGGGGGCGCGTGTTTCACCCGATGCCATGGAATGCTTGGACCCAAGACTTAAGGGTATTGGCACAGAAGAGCTGCTAGACTGGCTCGACCGCCATTGCCGCAAGGAAGACCTGTTACCGCTGCAACCTCTGAGAATCGTGAGAAGTTGTTGAAGGAGTTTTTCAACTGGTGCTCTAGAGCAGGTTTTGACATGCAAGCATGGCTGGAGTTGCCAACCCGGAGTTTTCGTTGAGTCGATAAACGGCTTGGTGTCCTTCAAACCAGTGCTACGACGCCAACTGCAGCCATCATGGGATGTTGCTTTTGCTTGGGTACGTGAAGAACGTCCCCAACACTACATAGCAATGCCGTAGCAAATCTTGGCGGCAATGTTGACTGTTGCACTTGGCTGGGGGTGGTATGAGGTCGCAGGCATTTTGTCACCTGGATGGGGTGCCCTTCTTCGAACTTCAGAGATGACTGGAGCTTTGCGGAAACACCTCCTCTTGCCCTCTGATACGATGAAGTCAAATTCTTTCTGTTTGCTTAGCTTGCAGGAACCAAAAGCAAGATTTACTGCGGCCCGGCATCAGACTGCAAAATTGATATTGGAGACCTTGTCCGTGTGTGCGAGCTTGTTTTTAACGATATAGCTCCGTTTCAAAGACTTGGCCCTTTTCGTCCCACACTTTCAGACTGCGGTCCAAAGACCTCCCCGGTGCATTGAAATTGCCCACATCTGGTCAGAGTGGTTGCAAATCGCTTGATGTCGGGTCGCTTAGACCCGGCGGGGCGACGTGGCAGTTGCAAACTACAGAGAGCCCAGTTTTTTGTCAGGAGACGGGGACGATGGACAAATGCCAAGGTCATGGAAATATACATACAAGAGATAGGGTCAATACAGTACATTTTGCAGTTGTCGCAGTTGCAACGTGAACGTGTTTTTGGATTGGCTCGTCGCTTTCCTACAGTACTGCATAAGGCTGAAATGCTGCGACAAGCAAAGATTCCAGGCACTGCCTGGTACCCGCTTTTTTCAAGAGGCTAGCCCTTGTGGCTGAAGTTGTGGGAAGTGATGGGTGGAGTTGGAAGTGGCCTGATGGCCTTTTGTTCGTGATCCCGCACTTGCAGAGAGATGGAAAAGAAGGGCCTGTGACCGAATCTTTATATATATATATGTGTTTTTTTTCTTTTTTTTAAAGTTTCTTTTTGGGTGGCTTCTTCTCCATCTTCTATCGCTTGCAGGGTGACGTAGGAATCCGGGAATCCGTCCTCTGAATCGATGAGCAGCCAGGACCAGGGTGCAGCAGGAGCAGAGCATGGCTTCCCCGCAGGCTGAGGAGCAAGGCTTGGAGCCATTGTAAGTGGTCAAAACACTTCTAGTCGCTGGGTTTGTCCTCCCCAGCTGCTAGACAAGAAACTCTTCACGGATGGGATCATCCACCAGCTTGAAGCGCTCTAAACAGTATCAGAGGGTTTATGGTCGCCATGGAGGTACAGACATTCTCCAAATCAGGGGTATCTCATGTGGTCTTGCCCTGGCCCCAGGCGAGGTGATCTCCGTGGTGTCGCCCAGCGAAGAGAGCCCCACAGGCGAGTTGAAAAAGGAACCGGTGATTGGCGGGATGAAACAGAGTCCCCCAAACTGGGCATTTTATGGGGACTGTTGTGAGATTGATAATCGCTAGATCCTGATTCAGATGTTATTGGATCTGCTGGATGTACGGAGTGAGAGCAAAACAACATGACTTTCTGAACACTCTCAACGTGTCAACCTCGGGAAGACTCCCAATTCTTCACCTCAGCCAGTGGCGCGCCAGGCTTGTCCTTCATCCTCCAGCTCCTTCCCCTTCCTTACAGCTCACCATCCTCCAGCTGGCCCTTCAGCTCACTTCCCTTCAGCTCACCAGCCACTAGTCCACTTGTGGCCATTCATCCAGCTCCTTCTTCCCGCGCGTTCTTACCTTTAGGCGCCCGCCTTGCCGCGCCGAGCGCCAGCTCCGGAGCTGGCGAGGCGCTGCGGCCGCAGGGGTCGCCGCGGGCGACGCGGCGGGTGACGCAGCGGCCGGACGTGGCCAGGCGCGGCCGGACGTGGGACGAGCTGGGAGCGTGTGGCGAAGGGTGTGGAGAGGCGTGGCTTAGGTGGTTGGATGGATACTGTAGGACCTTTTTGGATGGGAACAGTTTTGGGTTGAGGGTTTTTGGGAGGTTGGTTCTTGGAAAAGTGGAGGTTGAGATGTTAAAGGAAGAGGGAATGCTGAGCGGCTCGGTCGTGTTTGAGGTCTCGAGTGAAAGACTAACTCAAGAATCTGAGATCCAAGAGGATCGCAACTCAAGAATTTACCATCCATACACCTTCGATCTCAAGGTACCCTCAATCAGCGACACAATGAGCATGGAACTTAGCAATGCCCAGAACTTTGAGTTCTACAGTCCGCTTGAAGGTGGGTACAAATGGGTATGGACCAAATCATCATCAGTCACAGTGCAAGTCTCAGTCACAGTGCTTCATGCCGTTTTTTTCCTCCAAAGACCTGGGTGGACACCTGCCACGGCCCAGTGCCTGCCACGGCTGCGTCAGGCTGGCCAAGATCAAGAAGGCTACGCCTAAGGCTCGGGAGCGGACAGTGAGGAGAGTCGACCCTTCGAACCTCGCCTCAGCCAGGGTCGATGCGTCGCAGCCCCGGTCCAGGTCCCCACGTAGCAGGCCAGGCCTCTCTGCTGGGTCAAGCAAGGGATGCCATGGCCTACAGTTGATCAGTCGATCCAAATTTTGTGGAATCCAACTCTAGATTTTCTTTCCGAAGCTCTGCAGTGGTGAGCTTGGTCTCCACTTCCTCGAGGTCCGCTGCGAATCGATATGGGCGGTGCTACATGTTCTGTTGGGAATGTCTGAGAAGCTCCGAAGCTTGCAGATTGTTTCTGATGAAGATGAACAGCTTTGGACCCTAGACTCATATAGATCACGACACGTCTACGGTGTTGACCACTCAAGTCCGAAAAGCCACCAAATCGTGGGGCACTCTTCCGAAAGGCAGCGGGAGTTCCATGGAGTGACCGTTCGACGTCCCCTGCCGGGTCCAGCCACCTTCACCGCGCGTGGCCCGCGCGCGCGGCCCGCGCCGCGCGTGGCCCGCGCCAGGCGAAGCCGGAGCGCTTGCGGGGGCTGCTGAAGCGCCGCCAAGAGCGACGGGGGGAGCGGCTGATCCTGGCGCGGCAGGCCACGCAGGCGGGAGGGGAGCGGAGAGGTGCCCCGGTCCGGCTGGGTTTGGGGGAGTGGAGAACCTGGGGTTGGAGAGGTAGAGGTTGGGTGGGTGCCCGGTTCGGACTCTTTCGAAAGACTTTTCAAAGGTCGGTGGGTGGATTTCGGGATGCAGTAACAAGAACGCTACGCACGGGGCTCCTGGCCGTATAGGAGCAAGGACGCTACTACGGATTCCGGGCATCGCTAGGAACGGAGCATTCTTACTCCAGCACCTTCAAAAAAGGGGTCACCTGGCTGGTTTCGCCCCAGCCCACCACGATCAGGGACGTCCAGCCAGGACACCCCTTGTAGAAGGTCCAGGGCGCCTTCGCTCTCTCGACCGACCGGAGAGGCCTTAAACGTCGAGGAGCGGGAGATGCTTCAGCAGGTGTTTGAGCTGAACTCCCACACCAAAGAGGACTGGACGGTTCCCGGTTCCAAGGGGTTTCCCGGTTGGGACGGTCTTTGAGCGAGACTCCCACTCTGGCGCGTGCGGGTTTTTCTTGGCGTCTGGCGTCGGGAAAGCCGTTCTTGATGGGGGTTTTCTTGGGTTCGATCCGTTTCGATCCGTTTTGATCCTGGGTGCCCTTTTTGTTTCTTTTGATCTCTCTCTCTCTCTCTCAGGGGCTGAAATGGGCTCTCTCTGTGGGCCTCATGGGTTGCTGACCTGCTGACCTTGGCCTTCTGAAGAAGGGTTCAAGAACTTCTCGGGTTCGCCCAGAGACTGAAGTGATTTGGAAGCTCCTGGAGTTGTGTCAGGCTCTCAGGCTCTTGGCTTGAACTGAGTGATGGATTCTCAAGCGACCACTCTCAAGCGACGGCTGCGAATTTGGCAGCCCTTAGAAGTCCAGTTTTCCTTACGGAGTGAAGGATTTTGTCCGAAATCAGGTCCCAAAGACATCTAAAAGACCATTCCATTCTTTTTATGGTCAAAGAACTCTTCGGATTTGGAGGACTTGCTTTTGGGCTTGGAGATCCAGCGTGCTGTGGTGGAGGCGATGTGCGGGTGGGAACAGCGCCGCGAGCCACATCAGTGGTGCTGCATGGTACTTGGTTCACATGGAGCTTCGGAAGGCTGCCACCTGGAATAGATTTGTGATATTCTGTCATGGTTGTATATATGATGCGCACGTATTCAAAGAATTAAAGGCACTTCGGGTGGTGACGGAATTCAGATGATCTACTTCTCCACGGGCAGTATGGAATTAACATTTATCCACAGTGTGTTCACCATCCCAAGTTTCGATGACGAGAATCTGCTCATTAGGCAGTTCTCACCAAGCCATGTTACTTGGACACTGAAATCAGATCGATCCCTGATTTGGAGGTCTGTTTCGGACACGAGGTGTTGATCCTGCGCAGCACACGAGGATCACATGACATGTTGACGTAGCGAATTGCTCTTTTCGGTGCGAAGACGAAAGGATGATAAGAATGATGTCACAAAAGGTGACTGCGCCAAGCAGGGTTTTGGAGAAGGGGGGACAAAGCTGAGTCGGCAGTTTTTGTACAACCGGAAACAATTTGTATGGTGGTGTGGTGGCACTACATTAAGTCGAACCTCCTCGCTGTTGACCGTGGTAGAACCCTCCTCGCAGCATGGCCCCCTTCTCACTCTCTCCAAAGGAGCCGGTCTCCGTTTCAGTGAAGCTCCAACATCTCACGTCTCTCAGCAATGTGGAGCCTCATTCCACCTGGTGCTTCACCCCCCCAGCGTCCCACGCCCCGGTCTCTCCGCCGGTCGGACTCCACCGGTCTCCCGTCTCCGCGGACGACGTCCCAGGCTGGGCTGGCGGGCCACGATGCCCAGGAGCGACGGCAGGTGGCCTGGGCCTGCCGACCGCCCGCCGCCTGGCAGGAGACCCAATGACGTCGGGTGGAGGGAGTCGAACTGGTCGAGGGTTCCATTTGGTTCTTCTTTGTTCTTCGGCTTGGAATTAGAGGTCTCCCCTCTAAAAAGGACGTGGGGGCAGGGAGAATGAGAAGTGCCGCAGGCGTTTTTGGCGTGGTGCCCAAGTTCTTTTCGATTTTGGGGCGTTTTGGGGTTGGAAGGACTCACAGAACTGTATGGCCAAAGAGGGAAGAGGTCCGGGGAGACCCGCTCGACGACTCGTCTCCGCGCGCGAAAGCTTGTCTCCGCGTGGAGGACGAAGGGATCAGCTTTGAGGAGTTTGCTGGCAAGGTGAGGCTGCTGGACCCAGCCTTGTGGTTCATCAATACCCCAAACATCTCACCTCTAAGGGGGCGACAACAAAAATCTCGACACCCCAAACAGGGGGGCCCTGTGCTATTTTTTTTCTTGCCTTGCGAGAGGTTTGTTTCGTGAAAAGAGTTCCTTGATCATTTTGGATCTTTCAAGGTTCGATTGGATGCTGCCGAAGCGGGTGTTGGAGAGGTTTCTCCAAAGTGTGGTGTGATCCTGCCACTTTTAGGGGGGCCCCCTTGGTGTTGGACCTGAGCAATGCCTTCCTTTCGTACTTTCGTCTACTCAACAAACGACCGCTGTCTGCACCGGAGGAGTCTGCATCGGCCGCGCCAGGTGATTCCCACGTGCCGACAGACGTTGATTCAACTGCGGCAGGAGAGTCCCACGGGTGGGTGAAAAGGGGGATGCCTGTGGTTGGGAGGAGGTGAAAAAGGGGGGAGGGCCTCTGAAAAGCCTGGCGGGTTTTTAGCCTTTGGACTGCTAAGCCATTCAGTGGGTGAACATGGAATTCCGAAAGAAGTTGTGAGAGCTCAAAGTCCCTTCTCTATCTGCCAGCGCACAGTGGTCCATGCAGCAAAACATCAACCCAAAAAAAAAGTGACGCTAAAAACAGACGTCGGAATCTTACATGATTTACCGATATAGAAAGAACTGAAAGAACTATGGCGCAGTAAAAGTAGGACTGCAGTCTTGGAGGAGATTACCATGAGTAGAATGCTCCCCAAAAAGAGGACTCGGGCCTCTCAGCAGGGCCTCTCAGGAGAAGTCTCCTCCACAAACCAAATCAATTTCACGTAGCCATCAAGGAACTTGTCCGGCAGTCTACTTACTCTTGACTCTTGACTGATGGAATGTCAATAACTATGCACAATATCCTTTGAAATCTATTGGTTTATGTGCCTTTACTGCTGTGTTGGGTAGGAAGATACTAGTATCACTTGAGACCTTGCTGGTGCTCTTTCGCGACGCTTCGCAGCGATCGCATGGCCTTGATGCGGGGGGGCGCAGGAGAAGATGCAGAAGGTCCTCGCCAGCGTGCCAAGGGAATGGACAGGTCGGGCGGGCTTCCTACTGACGACTAGGCTTCGACATCGGTCGTGGCTTTTGCAGGCCAGGTCTGGACCCCAAGGCTGGGTCCGGGAACATGCCAAAAACCAGTCACTGTGTCATTATATCGTCAGACCAGGCTTAACGCCAGGCCCGTAGCCTGCACTTGCAGGGTGCAAATGACCATACCCATTGAAACCGTCGGGCTCAGCACTTCTTAGGGCGCTCCCCATGAAACCGTTGTCCACTCTGGGCCTCCTGGGCCTTGTTGTGGGGTGCCGAACCCAAGCGCCCCCCGCGTTCGCGCAGGCCGCCTCCCGCGCAGCCGCCTCTACGAAGCGGCGCGCCGGGTTGGGACGCCCGGCTGACCGCCCCGTGTTTGGGGGCGGCCTGAAATCAGGAGAACCCAGAGCATTCTTCCGCTGGATTTCACCACCGATCAGTCAACCCCAAGTGGATCGGAAGTCAACCACGTGCCAGGGTTCGAATGAGGTGAACCCCTTCAAACCGAGCGGAACACCTGGACCAGAGGACCTGATCGCTGCACCGGGCGGATCTGAGGTGCTTCCGCTGGACTTCCCGGAGATTGGCGACGAGGTGGAGGCGCGGCGGACGTGAGCTGACGCGGCCGGCCTGGGGTGGAGAAGGAAGACCAGGCTGATGCCTAGCGAAGTGGAGCCTGAATCGAAGCATCTGGGTTTGACATGGTTTGACATGGTTTGAGAATTTCTCCATTTGGGCACGTACCAAACGCCCGTGGTCCAGCAGGATGATTTTGGACTCGTCATGAGAGGATGGCCTCCTTCAGGCCTCGGTCTCAGTCTCTTTCGGTGCCAGGACCAGCCCCCTGCCTTGACTGAACTGGTCTGGCTCTCAGACCGGGGAGATGGATGGGAGATGGATGGGATGGGGATGGGATGGGGAGGATGGATGGCCGCTCTTGGTGAATTTGGAAGCCGAGCGCGAGATTCGGTCACGAACTGAAGAGCCAGGGCATCCACTTATATCGTACCCAGGGCATCCACTTACCGCTATAGCTGGTAACCAGTGGTTCCAAAGACCAAAACCATAGACCGAACGAATGCCTGGTTCCGTACAAAAGTGCTTTGCCTGGGATCCACTAGGGTATCTGGTCTGATATATGTTTTGACACAGATGGCATCGTGTGCCTTTCGTGCGGCCCTTTTGGCATCGTGTGCCGGTTTTTTCGACGTCGCCTTCAGGTGACCACGGATGGTGAGAGCTTCTCTATCTCGGTGCGGGCCGCGCGTGGTGGGGGTTGTGGGTGGGAAGTCTTCTGAGTACTTTGTAACAGAATGGAGTTCAAGGTTGTAACAGCTATGGCGTGACCAAGATGGCACCCTAAATTGGAAGTGTTGCAAAGATGGGTTATTTAGAGGTCTAGTCGTGGCCTTAAACCAAGGGATCCCACCAACCCCAAATTGGTTCGGCCTACTACCGTCACGGTCACGGTCAGTTACCCCATATGGGTCCTCACCGCCGGTCGCCGGTCGTCGAGTTTCGAGCCCTTTTGCCAGGTCTTTGCGTCTGAGCTCCAGAAGTTTTCGGAGGCGCAGCACCAGCACTGGCCGTATGGTGGACGCGCGGGGTGAGGGTGGACGCGCTTGGAGCTAGCCGTATACGTCAGGGGGGACGCGCAAGCTAGCTGCCGAAGGGTGTGCGCTCTTTGATGGAATGGTCCATGGATTTTGAGAAATGTGGAATCCGCGTGAGGTCACTGTACATGATGGTATTTTCAGCTTGATGTTTCTGATCTTGCTTTTCCAAGATGTCATTCCAGACCGCCTTCGCCGGCCAGGACTGGTACCGCAGCCAAGCGCAACAACGCCGTGAAATCCAGCAGCTTTGGTCGCTCGACCAGGACGGCTCTTCGGTGAGACCCAGGCTCCAAAGCTTGGCCACTCTGCTTGGCCACTCTGCTTGGCCACGCCTCTTCGACGCTTTCGCCTGAACACCCAGAACATCCAGAGATGCTCCTTTGGAACGACCAGATCCGACCATCCCCACCGACGGAAAAACCGAACGAGATCCGACCATCCCCAAATGCAGGAGACCTTCGTTGCCAGTGGAGCTGATCTACCTCACTTGGCCGCTTGAACGACGGGAAAACCAAAACGATCAAAAACGGTGGGGTCAGGGCGTGAAGGACGGCTTGCCTGAGAGAACCAAGGTTTTTGGTTGATTTTGCGAGATCATTCAGAGCAAATCGAACAAAACAGATTGGATATGATTCAGATGTTGTGCAATTAATATTTGATTCCTAGATAAGTCAGATGAAGTGGATCTCACCCATGCGAATCTCATATTCAGGATCAAACCGCCAGGGTGTGTGACAATAAGGCAAACCAAATAGATTTTCATCCAAAACACCTGCCCAATTTGACTTGGCAGGCTGTTTTGGCACTCCTTGCGGTGCCTCCCTCCGGCTCAGGACATGATCTTCCGCCGTGTGGCGGGCTTCAAGGGCTTCCTGGCGCGCGACGAGGCCGAGCCTCCCGGGCCGGTGCCCGGGTCGGTGGGGGTGTTGAAGTGGAGAAGGTCCATTTCTTTGATCGACAGAGACGCTGAAGACACATACCTGGGTTGGCTCAAACCACCTCCGCCTTGGGCCTGGCACCAAAGTACGGGGATACGGATGGCACAGCCGTGTGCAGCAGATCGTTGGCCCAGCAACTTCGTCCCAGCTAGGTGGCTGGATGATGGCTGGATGGCTGGATGATGGCCAGATGGCCAGGCCTCACTTCATCCCAAAGCTGTTTGAACTTCCCAGATCCAGTCGGCCTGCGTTCCGCCGTTCGAGTCAGACAGATCGAACCTGACGCTGCTGGAGCTGGAAGCTCCGCCGCTCCGCCAGGCGGAGGTGCTCTTCGATGAGCTTGGGGCCTCTCCGGCAGGAATTCTGCGATGCTTTCTTTGTGAGGAAGGTCTGGTAGTCATGTATAAGTAAGAATAGAATGTGGTAAAACAAAGCAACAACAGATTCTACAGGTCATTGTTTGGATGAACATACATCCAATTTTCTGTCGTTTCCTCGTCCACAGAAGAGAACCATTGTTTTCACCATCAAATTCCTCATGAGGCCTCATGTGGAGAACCACTGTTTCTAGCTGGCCAGGTTGTACCGCAATCCTTGATGCAGAAGCGGAAGGCGTGCCTGCTTGCAGTGCAGGAATCACTGATGCGAAGGTGAAGTGCAGCTTGTTGTGAAGTGGAAAGACACAGAGATCAAGTGCAGCTTCGGGGGTATCCTAACGACACGTTCTTTCTTTCCTCTCACGATCCATTAGCTAGACTGCCCCTTTTTGGCCGCCAAAAGGGTTTAGTCCCTTGTGCTAAGCTGCGCCATGTCAGCTTCTTCAAAATAGGAAGACCTCCGACCGCCACTCAGGCCCCTCCCCTATGGCGCAACAAACACGATGGGCTTTTAGCTAAACAAGCTCCTCAGCTCAGGGCTCCGCGAAGCGTTTCTCCCGTTGCGACGGCCAGACGTTGGGCTTTCTCAACGAGCAGTCGAAGTACGACTTCCCTTCCTTCGTGAAGTTGGTCCGGGGCCCGTCCAGTCAAGCGGTGGCTGTCCGGGCGAAGGGTGGCGGTCAACCAGTCGAAGCGGGTTGTTTGGGGTGGGAGGTGCATGTGGAGCTCTGCAGTCTGCAGGGTCTTGCTTGCAGGGAGTGCGTCATTCACGTGGAGCTCTGAAGCGACGAAGACAGGGCTTAGTGTGACTCGTTTCTCTTGAAAGCTGTGCTTTCCAGACTGGCTAGTAGTAGGGAAGGAAGGAATGAAGGAATGAATGTCCCCCACCCCAAAAAATACCTGGCTGATAGATCCTGAACACCCTCCTTGCTCCTTTCGGTCCTTTCCGTGCACGTCAAAACCGAGGTGGATAAGATCCGCTGGCTGCCGCCCCGGCCTCGCTTTCGACCGTCGACCGTCGGCTGACTCCTCGCTCCGTCTTCGTCGGAACGACCGGAACGACGCCGGATGGCTTCATGAGCATGGCTGAGGAACCCCTCCAAGGAAGCAGAGAGACAAAAGCTTATGACGAAGTGGTCTAGATGACGTTATGACGAAGTGGCTTTTCGTTTGGATGACAGATTCATGTACATGATCAGACCATATAGCATAACATTAATAATGAGCATAGCTATGCATAGCTATTCCTTTTGTCTGATCATGTGCATGAAGTGTAAACAAACCAACACCTAAGCTAGAAATGCCACCGCCAAGATACTTTAGTCCTTTTTGCCATGTCCATCCCAAAACACTTTTCCAGTCTTCCCACACCCAAGTTCCTCCAGTTCCTCCAGTTGCCAGGATCGTGTCGCAGGAGGATCGGCAGTTGCACTCCACCTTCATGCGCATGGCTTCCGAAAATGTCCGGTGTCCTCACCCGCCGGACCCGCTGGACCCGGACCGTGCGGATTGCGGATGCTTCACATGTGGCTGGATGAAAGAAGCCCCACAGATCATATGTATTCATATGAGATGAGACTCTGTATGCTGAGAAAGACAGTTGAGAACCTGAAAGACCACATTTTTCCTGGCCCATTTGGTCCATTCACCCAAAACGGTTTGGCATATTTTGCGGTTTGGAATATTTAATCAAGTCGGTCTTTTCAGGATGGACGAGGCGCAATCCCA